GCCTGTAATCCCAACACTTTGAGAGGCCAAGGTGGGTGGATCACCTGAGGTCAAGAGTTCGAGACCAGCCTGGCCAACATGGTGAAACCCCTGTCTCTACTAAAACAAACAAACAAACAAAAAATACAAAAAAAAAAATTAGCCAGGCGTGGAGGCAGGCACCTGTAATCCCAGCTACTCGGGAGGCTGAGGCAGGAAAATAGCTTGAACCCAGAAGCTGGAGTTGCAGAGAGCTGAGATCGTGCCATTGCACTCCAGCCTGGGCAACAAGAGTGAAACTCTGTCTCAAACAAACAAACAAACAAACAAATCCCCCCAAAAACCAATGTCCATTTATTGTGATAATTAGCATGCCTCTTATGGGCAACATTGTCCTTTTTTAGCCTTTGCCCTCAAATAAAAAAATTGTTATGTAGCAAAAACAACCATTTCCAGATGATGCAAGAGTTCAAAATGCTGCTCTGAAGAAGTCTATGAAAATGTCAAGTCATGCCTTTGCGAGGAGATAACTATTTGGCATATACCTTTCCCTGAATGATAAAGAAGGAAAGAAAAAATGTACTTCCAGTAAACATATTCATTAGCCACAGAGAGCTGCATATAAACATGATGCTTGCAAAAATGTTCTGCAGTAAATGGGAATTGAGAAAAATAGGTAATAAGTTGTAAATCTGAAAATCATTTCTTTATTTCAATGAAAGAGAAGTTTATAAACAGTCAAACCAGAAGGTCTGCTTTTAAAGTTTTGCAAATGCTGGTCAGATTGATTAGTCCTTTTTCAAATTTTTAATCCTAAAGCTTTTTAATTTACGGCTTTTTAATTTTCAGTTTGCTTACTCCATTCTTTTGTAAGAGAAAAAAATTCACTTTAGATTAAGTAAAATTGTAATCAAGACTTCTACTTCCATTTCTCACCTTACAAGCTTATCTTCTGGATCCACCCCCCTTAAAAAACAAAGTTCCCCTTTCATTTAAAAATTAAAGGAACTCCTGGGTTAGTATCTAACACATACAAACTAATAATTACCATGTAATAGAAGCAACAGGACAAGCTCACAGTAATATAATGCAGGAGGTAAAAACTTGGGCAGCATACAAAGAAGGCTGCCCCGTTTCTTAGTCTGTAAATGGGGACAATAAATAGTAGCTGCCTCATAAGGCTGATGCTGGGATCAGTCAAATGAGATCATGCAAAGCACCCAGCACTGGTTAACACTCAATAAAGAATAGCCATTATGATCATTAGGAAGACATAGGAAAAGACTTTTGTCATTGTCACAGTTTTATCTTGAAAAGGAACTTACTGTATGGTAACATTCTGAGTCAGTTACAAGAGAAAGCAACAAGTGTCCTGCATTGCTGAGGATCCTGCCTCCTCCAAGATACCCTGATAACATTGTTAAAATACCGTGAGGGAGAAAAGTATCCTATTCATCCAATGTTAAACTGTTTCCTTTTCTGAAAGTTAGAAATAGATGAAAATATCATAAGAAATAACTCTGTATAAAGTAAGCTCTAGGTAAGACAATATTGTGGTAAGTGAACTAAACAAAGATTAATCTGAAATTGGACTCTGATCCCCAAGTGAACCAGCCGGTGTAGCCCAGTCTTTACTGGATCTGAGGAGGAAAAACAAACCTGTGTCTATCTCAAGCGTGATCTGGCTAGATATGATCTAAACTTTGAAAAGTGCCTAAGCACATTTCAGATGCATATTATGTGTTAAATACTAAGCAGGGAGCTTTGAGCTGGGGCAGTGCACCCTGATACTGAGGAACTGACATAGAAAAATGAACACCTAGCATTGTAATTTGTCCTTTTGCTATTCTCTTATTTATTTATTTATTTATTTATTTATTTATTTATTTACTTTTTGAGACGGAGTCTCACTCTGTGGCCCAGGTTAGAGTGCAGTGGTGCAATCTTGGCTCACTGCAACCTCCGGCTCCTGGTTCGAGCGATTCTCCTGCTTCAGCCCCCCGAGTACCTGGGATTACAGGTCCATGCCCCCACACCCAGCTAATTTTTGTATTTTTAGTAGAGACGGGGTTTTGCCATGTTGGCTAGGCTGGTCTCAAACTCCTGACCTCAGGTGATCCACCTGCCTCGGCCTCCCAAAGTGCTGAGATTATAGGCGTGAGCCACCACGCCCAGCCTATTCTCTCATTTTAGTCAAATAAGTTTCCTTTTCTGTTAGATCTCTCCCCAGTAATTGCAAAAACCAACCAAATAAATAAGTACGGGAGAGAGGTGGTTATTTATATTATGAAAGCATTCTGCAGTTTAATTCATTGCAGAATCTAAGATCCTTCCCTCCACAGTGTTAAAATCCAGAGCCCTCTCAATTACTCTTCCACACTTTGAGGAAAAGGAAGAGAGGGAGAGATCTCCAGTGGAAATTTCCTTGTTAATAACATCTTATGTTTCTCTAAATGTTTTGCAGTTTCAAAGCACTGTCAGACTCACTCTGGTATCTTAGTTAAGCCTTGTACCAGATGTCATAAATCATATTATATTAAGAAAAGACAAGGCTCAGAGATGAAGTAAATATCAATGGTAGTAATTAGTTATATATATAACTAATATATACTGTTTTTTATATACATAACATATATATATATAGAGAGAGTATATTTGTAGTAATTGGTACATGTGAGACCTGAAGCCAAGATTTTAAAACCAAGTCCAGTGGCCAAGAAGCTGAAGCAAGTGGCTCACACTCACTGACTTGGTGCTGCTGTTTTTCCAAGCATGTGATTTGGTTCCAAGCATCTTCCCTTTTGTTCTCAGTTAATTCTGATGCATGCCTTCCCTCATGTAATTAATAAATGGGAAAGACTTGAGTGAACAAATATTCAGCCAACTAGTATTTATTGAGCAACAACTAGAAGCCAGATCTTTGAAGGGTTTTAAACAAAGGAAATGGAATCTCTTGTCATTTAAAAAGACCATAGTAAAAATAAAAATAAAAAATAAAAAAGACCATAGTGAGGATGGTGCAGTGGCTCACACCTGTAATCCCAGCAGGTTGGGATGCTGAGGTGGGCAGACTGCCTGAGTTCAGGAGTTCGAGACCAGACTGGGCAACATGGTGAAACTCCATCTCTACTAAAAAATCCACAAACTAACCAGGCATGGTGGCGTGCAACTGTGGTGGTTACAGCTAGTCAGGAGGCTGAGGCAGGAGAATCGCTTGAGCCTGGGAGGTGGAGGCTGCAGTGAGCTGAGACGGCGCCATTGCAATCCAGCCTGTGCAACCAAGCCAGGATTAATAACTTTATTGATGTGAACCAATTATCCAAAACTAATAATCACATATTAGCCATAATGGCGTTCCCAGCTAGATGTGTTCTGCCTGTGTTTGTAAATCCTGGATATAAATTTCAAGTGCCTTCAATAAGAAATCATTGACTTGGAAAACATCTCTGCGTAGTCTTGATAAGATTTCTAAATGTGGTGAAGCCTCATTCTTCAAATTATTTATTCAACACTAACTCATTCTACAAACATATCTGCTGGGCTCTGGGAGCAACAAGATGAGTTAGATGCAGCAGTCCCAAATCTAAAGGAGGTTGGAGACTAAAAAGGAAAGACCAGTGCCTGCTCTGAGCTCTCCAAGAGTCTCCAACCTCTCAGTCAGGCTTCACAGCCCCCTCTGCCAGAGGCGGAACCAGCTTCCCTCCGCTCTGCAGCCACACTGGCCTTTTCTTTCATTTCTGAGAACTCTCCTCACTCCCTCCCACTTTGGGCTCTGCAGAAATCCCAGTTCCCTTTGCCTTGAAAGCTCTTGGTCAATTTTGCTCCTCCTCCTTCAGCTCCCAGCTCCTGCCTTGCTGCCCCAATAACCTTTTTCTGACTGCACATCCGGTCAAATCTCCGTCTGAAACCCTCTACTACCTTAGACCCCATTACATTTGTAGTTTTACGTGTACGCTTGTGATCATTTAATATCTGACGGTTTGCTCTCAGGTGCCTACGCTCCTGGAGAGGCACGGGCTGACTGGTTTTGTTAGATGCCAGTGCCTGGCACACAATAGGCCCTCCAGGGGTGAAAAACCAACCAATCAAGTCAGGACCCAAGCAACCTGGGCCTCCGTGGAAGGGCAGGATGGCCTGAGTTTGGGTTTCTCTTGAGTTACCTTAAGATCAGGCCTCCTGGCTCCTATCTTAGCCCTTCTAACACTCTGAAGTGTAGAGGTTGTTTGTTCCAAGTCCCCAAGGGACTGTAAGCTCCCTGATATCAGAAATCCCATTATATTTTACTGCTGTGGCCCCAGCATCCAGCTGTACTGTTACTTAGCAAGAGATCCACATGAAAACCATTTCGCAACTATTAGCCATTGCCAGTATTAATACTTTCCGGAAGGTGGCACAAAGTGGGGGATGTTTCGATAGCTTCAAAGAAATGTTTAAGCTAGAGTTGACTCTTTAAAAAAATACAAGCCATCCCCAACCAAATATTAAAAATACAAATACAAAAAAAAAAAAAAAAGGAAATTTGTCTACTCCTCATTTGTGAAAACAAAGAAAAAAAAACCACTTAACGTCTTAACCTTTCTAGGCCTTCACTCTCGCCTCTCCCTGCGCTACACGGCCGAATTCTGGACGTATCTACACAGTCACCGCGGAGTCTGCAATCGTCGCAAAGTCCCCTGGCATTTCCTGGCCAGGCTGCAACTTTGGTGAGGGTGTATGTAGTTACAACCCCTGTAGTGGAGCTGGTATTTAGGGTCCTCATTGGCAAAGTCGAGGGTATCAGCAGGGAGGGAGGGGACCTTGTCTTCTTTCCATTCACTGGCATGTTTCCGGGGCACGGTCATCCCACGCTGGACTCCAGAGTCAGTCCCAGGGCCTCGCCGAACTCGAGCCCTGGAGCGCGCGCGGCCCCGCCCACCCGGCGGCCGAGGCCCCGCCCCTCCCTCCCCCGCCCCACCCACCCGCCCCATTGCAACGGTCTCTGCACGCAGGCGCAGTGGCGCGCGAAGGAGGCGGGGCGCGTGTGGGCCTCACTTAAACAGTAGCGGAGGGGGCGGCGCGCGGTCGGCACGGCGCTGCTGCTCAGTGGGAGCGGGTCTTCGCGCAACTGTCTCCGCGTGGCGCGCGCCTCGAGCCGCCCTTCCCCTGGCGGCTGCGGCCGGAGGGAGCGGAGGCGAGCGGGGGTCGGGCTCCATGGAGAGCGGCGGACACCCGGGCAGAGGCGGAGCCTTCATCTCGGCACCCGGGCTCCAGTGACCCGCGCTAGCGTCCCGTCCCGCCCGCGTCAGAGCGGCCGCCGGCCCCGGGACTGACCGGCCTCGCCGCACCTCCCGCACTCACCAGCGCTCCCGGCGCCCCTGCGCCCGACTCGCCCTCGCCCCCACTCCCCGGCGGGGTGGCGGCGGCCGGGCCCCCGCAGCGGCGGCCGGAGCAGCAGCAGCAGCAGAAGCCTGCCTCTATGATGAAGTTCAAGCCCAACCAGACGCGGACCTACGACCGCGAGGGCTTCAAGAAGCGGGCGGCGTGCCTGTGCTTCCGGAGCGAGCAGGAGGACGAGGTAGGGCGCCCAGCGGCGCACGCTGCCCTCCGGGGCGCCGGGGTCTGGGGCCCGGGTGCTTCCCCTCCCTCCCCGCCCGGGCGCAGGCTGAGGGGCTGGGAGGGATTAGCCCCCTTCCTCCCTCCCTCCTTTCCTCCCTCCCTTCTTCCTTCCTTTCTCGGGGCTGATAGAGGAGACAAAGGGGGCTCGCCCAGCCCCACTTTCTCCATCTGGGCGCTCGAGAAGGCGCCTGGTCCCCGGGAAGGTCCCGGGCCGTGTGAGTCTCGCCTAGCGGGAGTCACCATCTTAATGTGCGAATTGAGTTGAAAGCCGGATAAACCTCGAGTGCTCAGCGAGAGGAGGGTGGAAATGGCGTGAGTGTTGCAGCAGAGCCCTTGTGCCTCTTTTACATATTTTCCTTCCATGTTACAGCCATTTGCGGTCTCGGATTCGATCTAAGCATGTTTGTGGAGTAACAGACAGTCCTCGTGCTTGGAATTGAGGACCCCGCAGTCTAGTCTTGGCAATTCTTGTGGGTCCATGAACCCGCTAGCTGTTGGCATAATTATGCCTCATTTTTAAAAAGGCCTTCCTTTCTTGAAGTTTTCTGACTGCAGAAAGATGGTTAGTGAAAAATGTGGAATAATGCCAAAAGGGAGACGATGGACTAGAGATGGGCAAAGCTGCCATTTTCAGACAGTAATCTACAGCTCTCAGCTTCTGTGTAAAGGGTTCTTTGCTCTCTGACTTGACATCTGGAAAGGAGCAGCCTTTCTCGTTCTAAGAGCAGTCCCTGTGTAATTTACCATCTGCATTGGGCTGAGAATGAGACCCTTGGGGTTTCCCTGGAGAGCGATTTTTACTTAATTCAGTCATATTTATTTAAAATGGCTCACTGTTGAAGTTTGCTTAGGGCAATAGTAGCCTTTTGGTATTGCCACTCTTAAGATAAATTACACAGGTAAAAAAAAATTAACACTCTGAGTTCTGCTTTCGTAACCAACCGTGTATAAAATACGAGGCTAAGGCTGGAGATGGGAATTTAATGGCTTCCTTACTGCTAGTCCCTATGTAGTTGTGATGAGTATGACTTAGAATACACTCAGTGGCTTAGTTCTTGTTATGTTAACAAAACGTTCTCGAAATTTGCCCTTCAAACCCTTGTTTTGCCTTTATTTTTTTTTTTGAAAAGAAACCAAGCCCTTTAGATGGGTTGCTCTGTGCTCACTCGTAGCCTTTACGTGTTGTACCTGAAGCAAACGAGTGTCCAGAGAAATACGGTCCCAGCCTTTGAGATGGGTCTGCTTAGGAGAGCTAGAAACTGCAAAGGGAAAGGTTATTAACTTTTACAAAGTGAACAAGTCAACAAGCATTAAGTGTGTTCTGTAAAAAAGATAAAGCCTTAGCGGAAAGGGGCCATGTTGAGGCAAAGTAGTAAACTTTAAATATAAAAGAAATGATAGCCAAAAGGGATCAAGATAGGTCTAGGATCTTGTCTGGTTTTCTCAATATCGTATAATGATATTCTTAATTGAGTGCTTATCATGTGCCAGGCACTGCCAGAAGAAAACTTGTTATACATTTAATCCTTTTAACACTGGGAGGTAGTGAAGTTATTCCCATTTTATAGGTAAGGAGACCGTTGCAGAGCCTAAGTACTTTCCCAAATGACACAATTAGGAAGTGGTAGAGTTAGGATTCAGTCAGGGTCCAGTCCTTACTCCTGATGGTGGGCTCTGTTTGTTGAATGACTGAGATTTTTGTGAGGCTAAGTTTGGAAGCCTTTCTGAAAGTGGCGACTGAAGTATTGCCGTAATGTGAACTTGGAATTCAGGCTTTGTAAAAATACTAGACTCTAGGGGAAAATATGAGTGATGGAAATTGAAATGATGATCTATATTGCGCTTATGGTAAAGCAAAGTCTGATAGAAGCTTTACGAATTACTTTAGCAACAAAAATAAATGGTTATTTTTATGCGTGGATATTATTTCTACTGTAATAAATACTAAATTCATGGCCTCTAGTTGAGTCAAGAGACCAGTGTCATTAGGTAAGGTGAAGTAGGGAGCAAGTTTTGGAGAATATATTAGAGACATCCATTGTGTAAAACTTTGTAAATCAGATAACCTGTAGGTTGAGGATCGAAGTGAGTGAGTCGTCTTGTTAGAGGATATGATCTGAGGGAAGACTCTAGAATTCTCCTTAAGTGGAATGCACAGCCAACTTTAACATCTGGTTTAGCTCTTCAGAATTTTCATTTCTGTGGTTGTGCGTGGTTGAGGCTCTATCTATTACATGATGATTACAGAATAAACTCTGTTAGCTTTCCTGGAGATCTTATTGTTTCTCTATGAGTTTGGCTTCACTCTGTTGAAATTGCATTGCCAGACTTCCCAGGAGAGTGTAGAAAACCAGCTTGAACCCACCTCTCTAGTTAATAGGTGACAACTGTTTCCCTCTACTGGATGAAAAACACCTAGATCCTGGTTGGGAGATTTAAATATATGTTTTGTTTGAGGATGAAATGTTTATACAAATGGAAGTAAAAGAGTAATTGCAATTTGACCCCAAAAAAGCTATGTGGCGCTCCCATCTGGCTGTTCCTGTACTGAAGTTCTCAGTAAGTTTCTACTTTAGAACAGATTGTTCTAGGAAGGAAGATTGTTCTAAGAGCAGAGTTATTCTTTTAAGGTGGCTTTTTATATATTAAATATTTTCCATTTTCTCTTCTTCTGCTCTGTAGGGTAAATACGTATTCGTATTTGTTTAGGAAGAAATTAGGTAGCAGAAGTAACCTATCCCAAGGTCACAGAAGCTGGCAGATCCTTTTGAGCTCTGGTCCTTTGTTTCTAAATGTTTTGTTTATTTGACCTACCTCCCCAGCTCGTTATTTCTGTGGGGAAGCACCCTTAGTTTTGGCAGCTGGACTTCTAGACAGGCCCACAACTAATTGCCCTGTAGAGTAGCTGGGTACTGTGCTTGTACAGTGAAAGATGACAGTGCTTTTACAAATAGGTAATCAGAAATGGATTCTGTTGAATGTATTTGCATATATGATCGTTTAAAAGGGGATGAAGAGATGAGATCTTAGCTCCTAAGAAACATTCTATAGGGGAAGTTTGGACAAGTGATCAATGGAAAGGGAAATAAAGTAAGGGAAAAGTGTGGTCGGGTGTTCTGGGGTTAAGATCCAATGTGAGTCATTTGGAGTTGGATGTGGATGACTGGGAAAGGAGGGACCACTCATCTCAAATAGAACAAGACTTGGGGCTGTGGTAGATTTGGCTGCAGCTTAGGGATGGCATAGGATAAGTAATAGTTGAAATATGCAACACTTTAAATGTAAGGTTGAGAAATTGCTACATAAGAAAGGAACTCTTAGTTTTGAACAAAGAGCATTTAGATATTAGATGTATTCAAGCTTGAGAGTGATCTGGCAGCAAAATAGGTTTGGACTGCTAAGGGGAGAAGTAGAATGACTTGATCCTGGGTGGAATCCAGACATGCTTGCAAGAGAGGCATTAACAGATCAGTCTTAAGGACTAACCACTACAGGCCAGGCGGGCGGATCACCTGAAGTCAAGTGTTCGAGACCAGCCTGGCCAGTATGGCGAAACCCTCTACTAAAAATAGAAAATAAAAAAAGTAGCCGGGCGTGGTGGCATGTGCCTGTAATCCAGCTACTCAGGAGGCTGAAGCATGAGAATCACTTGAACCTGGGAGGTGGAGGTTGCAGTGAGCCAGATCATGCTTTTGCACTCTAGCCTGGGCAACAGAGCAAGACCCTGTCTCCAAAAAAAAAAAAAAAGACAAGAAAAGAAAACTAACCACTACTCTTCCATAGAACTTGCTGCCCTAATTAGCTTTTAAGCTCTATGAGCCAGGGGCTGTCTTCTATAGATAGTCTGCTATAATGCTGAAAATATATATATATATATATATATTTATTTTTATTTTTTTTTTTTGAGACGGAGTCTTGCTCTGTCGCCCAGGCTGGAGTGCAGTGGCCGGATCTCAGCTCACTGCAAGCTCCGCCTCCCGGGTTCACGCCATTCTCCTGCCTCAGCCTCCCGAGTAGCTGGGACTACAGGCGCCCGCCACCTCGTCCGGCTAGTTTTTTTTTTTTGTATTTTTTTGGTAGAGACGGGGTTTCGCCGTGTTAGCCAGGCTGGTCTCGATCTCCTGACCTCGTGATCCGCCCATCTCGGCCTCCCAAAGTGCTGGAATTACAGGCTTGAGCCACTGCGCCCGGCCAATGCTGAATATATATTACTGAAAAATCTTGAGTTGTACAAAGTCATGCAGTAAAGCTTTGGTGGGAAAGGTTGAGTCTGAAAACCTAAAACCAGAGCTCTGATGAACAACAATACTAATACAAAATATTACTAGAGTTAAATCTCCACTAGCATTTTTATACTTAGAATCAACAGTCAGTCCACCCTTTTCACACATATACTCTGGGGCTCATAGTTCTTCAGAGTTAAGTTCTTGAAGTATTTGTTTCAAATGGAGAACACTTTCATCAAAAATAAGTGCTATCCAAAGGTAGCCTTTTTAAATTTATTTTTTATTTTTATTTTTATTTATTTATTTATTTTTTGAGACGGAGTCGCGCTCTGTCGTCCAGGCTGGAGTGGAGTGGCATTGTCTTGGCTCACTGCAAGCTCTGCCTTCTGGGTTCACACCATTCTGCCTCAGCCTCCCGAGTAGCTGAGACTACAGGCGCACGCCACCATGTCCAGCTAATTTTTTGTATTTTTAGTAGAGACGAGGTTTCACTGCGTTAGCCAGGATGGCCTTGTTCTGACCTTGTACGTGATCCACCCACCTTGGCCTCCCAAAGTGCTGAGATTACAGGCGTGAGCCACCGTGCCCGGCCTGGAAGCCTTTTTTAAACACAGCGAAGTGTCACCAACCTCTTCATCTGTGCCTCCAGCTCTCCCAGAAGGTTTCCTATCATAAAACCAGGCATTAATGTCGAATTTGCATTGGATCATTATTTTTTTTCTTAGGGTCTTTG